AAAAAAATAAACTAAAATTTAAAAAAATCTTTCAAATTTTCCCAACCACAAAAACTTTTCCTTTTTCGTAAAATTGGGTATCCCCAAAATTGCAGTAACTGAAAAAAAATCAATATTCATGTTCTTGGTTAGAACCTCTTGGAAATAAGTACAAAATATATATTTACACCTCAACAGTTGAAGGTGCTGGTGCTGCCATTTTAAATTTGTTTACATCTGGACGAAAGTTTGAGGCTCTGCCATGGACACGTTGCCAGGCTTTGGATTTCTAGGACGCATTATTTTTCCACTTGTGATTAGGCGCCCAAAATCCTTCCATGGTGAGCAAAGGCATAGCCAGAGCGGATGGAAACGGCGAGATCTGAAAAAAAAAAAGTGTGCTTTGGATGCTATTAAAAATACCATATCCTACATCCTATAAATCACTATGAAAAAAATTATCATTGTAGGCATAATTTTTTTAAACAATTAAGTACTAGCAATGAGGCTCTACTGATACTGCAGTGTAGTACCATTCAAGTATGACATATAAGATCAATAATCTAGCCACCTGCTAGCATGACCCAACTGATCAACCATTAAGTCTACTTCCAAATATGACCAAATTGATGTGAGACATGTTTGTCTCTGCAAATGAAAACAAAAAGCATACACTAGATGAATGTTTCAAAATCATTTCCTTGTACAATATATACATTATTATTATATTCACAAACAGTTGTAATGTTGACATGAATAGCAAAATAATAATCTGACCTTCTTGCAGAGGGAGTACGGAGCATGTCATGTTCAATGCGCTTGCTGGCCATCTTGGCATCATGACGCTGCTTAAATCTTACTTTATCTGAGAGAGTTGGGGCAACATCAACCCAATAGAAGCGCCAAGCCATTACGGGTAGCATCAGTATCACAATAGTCAACAATGAGGTGAAATAGAACATGGGCTCTCCCATCGCCTGAGAAAAATTATGCCCAATAATCACTAAAATCTTATGGATAATTGTACAGTCAGCTGTTTTAAACAGCTCTTCTAAAGAGTGCAATTTTTGTCAATGCAATTGAAAAAATGCATATAACAGCTGAAAAGCATGTGGCCCTCATAGTATGTGTGCTCTTCAATTTTTAATGCACTTTTTCAAATAATCAGAATAAAGAATAGCTCTGTAAGAGGGTTTACTGTATGTCACTGACTCATAAGTGAAGAGCAATTTTATAATATGCATCTCTATAAAACATAAAACACATCAAATCATTGTTATTATGGTATCATGTGCAAGCAAACTTACTGTAGCAAATCACAGAATAAGTGAGACTTGAACACATGGCAGACGAGGTTCTAAAACTCACCAACCATGGTTCAGATCCCATCTGTTCTCTGATTTGTTGCAATCGTGTTAGTTACTGTAGCAAAAATGTTTGTCTGAGGGTGAAAATGGGAGGAAAATGATGCACATTACCTTTGCTAGAGTTCCAACATAATCTCCACCAAGGACATAGTTGTAAAAATATTGGAGAAGCAAAAGTAGAAAATAAGTGAGCCCCATATAGTAATGTGATTAAATAGGGTCCAGTATGATGTGTCAGACAAATCTGAAAAAACATTTTATTTTTTATTTTGGCATAAAGATAATCAAAATAACTACTTTAATGACAGATTTTTTTTTATTTTTAATGCAATGGCCATCTCCCATTGAGGCAGAGTGATCCAAAAAAGAAGAAAGCTTTTCTTTTTGTTTTTTTACATTTAGTAATTTATGCAGAAAGGGTTACTAGCACGTTGCTCCTGGCATTTTAGTTGCCTCTTAAGACATGCATGCTTACGGAGGAAGGATTCTTCCCCATGGAGATGACAGATTTAATGATCTATTAAATTTGGAGAAAAATGTCGATTTATATATAGAGTACATAAAAAAAATCACAATTCTATGAAAATAAAAAAATCAAACAATACTAAAAGGGATTTGAACTAAGGTCTAAGGAATAAGGTTTGCCACATTACCATAGAGTACACAGTAGCATAGTTGAGTTCCATTGCTGGAGGGCAAGGTGCGATTACACCTCACTCAGTGCTCTCTAACACACTTAAGGGAGGGGCTAGCCATTTTTCAGTGATCAAGAAATTAAGATGTAAAAATTATGGAAAAAAAAATTTTCTTACTGAAAAATAGTGCAAAACTCTGGCACCATTTTGATGTAATCAGCTTGTTTCTATCATATTCCTAAGTATGTTTTTCATTAAATGTATTTTTTTTGTTCCTGCTATCATCAAATATATATGTTGGCAATTAGTGTTTTTCTTTTTCCTCCAAAAATTGCAATTTTTATGATTGTTTCATTCTAAATACTCTACATGGCAACTTCTGTGCTGGCTAAAGTGTAGAACATGGTGAGTGTCTCCCTTAGTAGCCTGCAGGCTGTCAACAAAGAAGGAGTAGTGCAACACACTCAGATATGGCATGTCATAACTATAGTTTCACACCAAACAAAAAAGAAAAAATGCAGAAATAAGTTATTGACATTGGTTTCCTTTTTCTGCAATAAGTATTTATAGGACTGTCATAATTTTTGCACACTTTATTGAGGACTGATGGTTCTACAAACACCCAGGAGGGATTTGTGATATTGTTTACAGTTTTGTTTTTTAATGAATTTTTCCACACAACAACACACACACACCCAAAAAAAAAAAAAAAAAAAAAAAAAAAAAAAAAAAAAAAAAAAAAAAAAAAAAAAAATTAGGGAATTACTGACTTTTTCACTAAAACACCTGAGTCAACAATTTTCCCCCTTTATCCTTTGTCGGGTTCAACTACTAGAGCTTGTACATTTTCCTTTTTTAGTAGAAAGGGGCAAGTTAATGCCCTAAAATTGTGCAAAATTTTATTATTTTTATTAACTTGGGCTAACAGTCAAAAAACACAGCCTATAGGTTTTTCTATGCTGCTTAATCCATTCAATTTTCTCATTGAAATTGACAAAAAAAAAAAAACCTGATTTAGTTGCCCCCCCTCCCCCTTAAATTTGTATGATTGCAGAATGTGTGTGTGTAATGGTAAGAAAAAGGGAATTGGTATATAGATGAACACAGGGACCAGTAACAGGTACTGTAGTATTTTGTAGAATGGAGTGTGGTGTCTAGCTGTGCACTCCGAAACTCAATCTTTTACATAAATATGAACAATTTGCAATACTAATAAAATACAGTGGACCCCCGGTTAACGATATTTTTTCACTCCAGAAGTACAGTGGACCCCCGGGTAACGATTTTAATCCGTGTAAGGGGGGAAATTTTTATGCAAAATTAACGTTATGTGAATGAATTTTCCCCATAAGAAATAATGGAAATAAAATTTCCGTGCAAGACACCCAAAAGTATGAAAAAAAAAATTTTACCACATGAAATATACATTTTCCCACAAAAAAAGGAAGGAACATGCACAAAGTGGTGTACATCCCACGTATTATTGTGCATGTATAGTCTACTAAATGAAGAATAATGACACTTACCTTTATTGAGATGCAGCAATAATGATGAGACACTGTGTCCTGGGAGTGCCTTTCCTCCGAGTACTGTGGGTTCCTGTTTGGCATTTTCTTCAGAACAGGCCTTATCAACTGTGTATGCCACTACGATTCTTAAATCTCTAAAAACCAACTTTGCTGGCTTTAAATTCACCAATATGAGCACTAGTTCCGGGCATTTTTCCCTGTTCACCTGGGTGTTAGTCGACTTGTGTGGGTTGCTCCTGGGAGACAGATAAGGACCAAGGAAATAAGTTAGACAGTTCTTCGATGACACTTGATTTTTGGGTTATCCTGGGTTGGCAATTCTCTTGTGGTTAATTGTTCTTGGTTTACATAAGATCTCCACAACGGTGCATACATGCAAGCAGCAGAAGATGAAGTGAAGCAGCAGCAGAGTACAGTGCAGAACAGCAGCAACTGTAACACAATAGTAGCATACTAATAATGATCTTTACTTCATCTCTATTGTTATTTCACCCTTATTGCTGTAGGTCGTGCACTAGTGAAGCTTTCATCTGGGGGCCATGGTCATTATTTCCAGAAAAGCCCGAAAACACTGTAATAATACGAAATAGTCCGATTGTATTCTTGGATGTTACCGCGGAGGCTGGATTATAAAAAAAGCACCGGAAAATGTGAGCGAGCTCAGGCACGCGTTCTCGGACGAATATCGGTGCGGGTTTTATAACAGTATGTGATGGCAAAATTTTTGCGTTTATGTAGCGGTATGCGAATATATATCGCATGTGATGCCATCGTTATGCGGGGGTCCACTGTATGTTCAAGTGCCAGTACTAACCGAATTTGTTCCCATAAGGAATATTGTGAAGTAGATTAGTCCATTTCAGACCCCCAAACATACACATACAAACTCACTTACATAAATACACTTACATAATTGGTCACATTCGGAGGTGATCGTTATGCGGGGGTCCACTGTACAGTGGTACCTCGAATTTCGAACAGCTCCAAACTCGAACAATTATGTAAGTGTATTTTTGTAAGTGCTTTTGTAAGTGCATTTTTGAGGGTCTGAAACGGATTAAGCTAATTTATACTATTCCTTATGGGAACAAATTCGTTTAGTATCGGCATTCGAACAGCCTTCTGGAATGAATTAAGTTTGTAACTCGAGGTACCACTGGATTCATGGTGAGGTTACAGTAAAGGACTTCCATGTAGGTGGTGTGTATATTTTTTATTAAACAAAACTGGATATACCAGTAGTGCGCTGCTAACTATTCTATATGATAGTTACACATTAGGAACAGAAATTGTTTCCCTGTTATATTTCATAAGGGTTCAAATTTCCCTTAAAGCTTTTTGGTAGATTATTTTTAATGAAATATAATATTATACATCTTATTACTCTAAATTAATAATTAATAGGGTTATCAATAGTGTAATAAACTGAAACTTGAAGCAATGACTAAATCATTCATTTTAAACTCCTAAGAGGGAGATCAAATAAATGAAAATTTAATCTTGCAGTACGCATTTTCTTCTTTTTTGGGTCACCTTGCCACAGTGCAAGATGGCTGATGTGCTAAAAAAATATTGCAGTACACAAAGATTTGAAGTGAGCATTGCAGGTTAACTGCAAGTGATGTTCTAAATTGAGTTAGGAAGCTATGCTGACTGTGTATTATTCTGCCTATATATCTGACCTGTAATGGTGACTGCAAAATTTTTGAGAAATGAATTTTTTAACAAGATTCATTATCTAGTTTGAATTGTGGATTTAGGCAAACATAAAAAATAAATTCCTCTTGTCATAATGAGGTATGGCCTATATTTCAAAGATAAATATACAAACTCTGCAAATGATGTTGGAGTGAATGTGGCCCTGTTTTGACACGTGCCCAGTGCCGCATGTCAAAACAGGTCAAGTAACTGTTGAAAAAAACAATTTCAGTGTTATCCAATGGCTAGCAAACAACCCTGACCTGAATAACATTGAAAATTGTAGGAATGTAATGAAAGCAAAACTCCATTCCAAAAGTACTTCATCAGTGTCACACTTGATTGAAGTGATGAAAAAAATTCTGGACTCAAGAAATGAACTTGATGTATTCTACTTGAAACGCTTAATGATTCTGAAATTGATAATCAAATCCCACGGAAACAACACCAAATATTAAAAAGCAAGTAAAATTTGATTTTTCTTACCCTTTATCGTATGTTACCTAAAATTTCTTTACAATTTACCAATGACCCAACATCATTTGTGGATCCATCATCATTTCCAGAGTCTGTATTATCACACAATGACATCTACTACATTATCATAACACCCACCATAACTGACATGAATAACTGTTTCACATAGATTATAATTCCTGTATACTAGATGAGACTTTGTTCATCTATAAATTTATTTACAAACATTCTCTCTCCATTCGCAGCAGGATTTGAACCTGCACACTTACTGTGTAGCTAAAGTACTGTGTACTATGATGCAGTGTGTGTGTAGGTTCAAATCCTGCGTTGAACTGACAGATATGCTTATAAATAATTTTGCCTGTTTGCATATATAAATTCATATAAAATACTCAGCATTACACATATAACCCGCACATAAAAGAGAGAAGCTTACGACGACGTTCGGTCCGACTTGGACCATTGACAAAGTCACACTAACCAGAAGTGGAGCAGGACAGCTATTTGTGTATCGTTCCAGTCACGGTATTGTGCCTTTTTTGTTATTTAATACTTAGCATCATGAAAAAAAAAAGCCTTTTTTTTCAGTACTGCACTATTACAAATTTTTCATTCAAAACCTGAACCTGATGGTTTCAACTACAGTAAAAAAAACTGTACATACCTGCATGGTAACCACAATTACAAGGATGGTAGCAACAACACTACCAAATGTTTGCTGATCTGTCATACTTCGCCCCTCCTGGTCCATACCATTGTAGTAGGCTCCTGCATTAGTAAACATGGCTTATACACCTTGCATTAATCTTTCATGATTAATGATACATTTTTCTTTAATACAAAATAGAAGAATTAAATTTTAATTGAAGAC